CATCTAACAACCACCACCACCGCCACCACCACCCCCGCCGCCACCACCGCCGCCACCCTCTTCACCATCATCTTCCCCCTAAATCACAGCACAAAAAGCCATAAGCGGACAACAACCGCCAGCATCATTATTAATTTTGCCAATGACAACAGAAACAAGTCAAAGCAAACGGAGGGAGCATCGCCTCCAGACATCCAAGCATTCCACTGGTCTGGGGTGATGATTGCCGCCCCCCCTAAAGCAACTCCCGATGGCAGGCCCCTGGTCAAACGCAGAGCTCACCCAAGAGACCTGTAGTCACTGTCTTGGCAGCGCTTGAAATAACTTCTTGTTGGACGGATGTAAGCCATCGGCATGATGTGGGAGGTATCAAACGAAAGGCAACTGTTCGGTCCAAGCCTTGCTCCCGCAATCCTGAAATCCCAAATCCTCTCCCATTGAGACACAAATCCCGAGCTTCAGACGCTCTGGAGCTGTCGGGACGCGGTGGTCCAGGCGCGTCGTAGACGATGCCCACCGTCGGAACGGCGGTTTCCACGTTCCTGTCACGAAAGCACTGGCAGAAACGGCGACTTAGATCTGCTCTTGGCGCAGCATTCAGACACTTCGTCACGTCAGTCGTGTGCCATATGCATGCCCAGCACACAACTGCCGTGCTCCTCGTCGGAGCGCGACGGAGCAAATCTGGGTCCACACTGCCGGGGTCGTGGTTATACGTCGCTCGGATCCTTAAGCTAGAGGCAAAACACACCTGCTACTATGCAACTGCAACGAGCATCCATGCTTGGCCATCTGTAATTCGGTGCGCACTACTTATTCTATGATTCCGACTCTTGGAGAGTTGAGGCTAAAGCCATCTAGAATCTAGAACCCCAGGCTAGAACTGATAGCCAAGCGAGACTGCGATCCATGCTGCTAGAAATGAGCGTCCTTACCAGCATGAAGTTCTGAAACAGGTTAGTCTGTCCACCCTCTTCTCACCATCATCGTGTCTACGACTCCCAAAGTCACTTTCAGCCGCTGGTTCTGCAGCTGCATGCGCAGTTGAAACGACACATTCCTGATACGGCTTCTATCAAAAAATGATTGAGATTGTCTTGGGCCAGGCCGCCCAAGCCGTGTCATGCACGGTGCACCACTGGCAAAGAAAGTTTTCCCACTTCAGGCTTTCTTGCATTAGGAGGTGGGCTGGTGGGCCTGCTTACTGTTCATTGCTCTTCACGCTTCTACTGATTCTACTAACTTTCACCAGCTATTCACAGACACGTCCCAGCCCTGACTTGCCGAGCTGAAGAAGATTTGCTGGCAAGTGTCAGCCTGCCCTGCGAGGACGTCGCGCTCCTGTGCGATGAAAGTACCATGCTTACAAATCATGTCGTCATGACACCCTGCAGCTACATCCACAGCCCTGTTGCCCGTTGCATTGTGAGAACTTGCTGTTGCAGGTTATCATATAGCTTCTGAAGATAATTTCCTGGAACTGTGTTTGGTCGATGCTGGTGATGGCAAGGTGATCAAGATCATAACAACGATGATTCATGGATTCCTCCATACTGGCTGGGACATTTGTCTGCCACGTTACTCGAAACGTCGCGGGTCCGAGCGGACGATGTCTTCCACCTCAGCTGCTTGGTTTGATCACAACTCTGGAACGCAGATGCGCCTCGGCTCACTTTACCTATGCCGTTAAAGCTCACGGCTCCGAAAACACAGATCGGAATCGCTCCACGAGGGCTAAGATGCGTCGAGATTTTTGTCAAACAAGATTCGGAGAACTGCCACGAAACGATTCCTCACGCAGTTTTTCAACACTGATTTGAGATACCTTTCAGGCACAGGGTACCCACAAGTATATGCCCCTTTCTACGGCCAAGGGAAGCCTGAAGCCGCTGATGCCAAAATATGCCAAAGGGAAGCCTCCGCCTCGGTCACCGGATACCCGCGGAAGCTGCCGCGCGAGCCCAAGCGCGCCGTGACCTGAGGGTCATCAGCTTGGAGCGTCCCCTCCGGGAGGGGTGTTCTGACTATTCCCCTGAGCTGATTCTCTCAGAATACCAGATTGCACCCTTGAACGATCCAGAATCAGGAGCGAAACACCGCTCGAATCGTCGCGCACCTCATGCAAGAACATGAAGCCGTCTCGCCGCTTCTGGAGATGGCGTCCACCTCCCAACCCGCAAACTTGAAGCAGTAAGTTGCAACGGCTTGTCAAGGTCGCATCTGCTTCAAAGTTCAGCATGGGACAAGTGGACCTATCATCACTACGTGTGTGCGTGAGTCCGATCCTACCCCGACCATGGTGCCTGCACGGCGCAAGATTTTCACCAGCTTCCGCGACAGGTGCTCACGATCCTCGGCTGCCCGACAATCTTGGCGGGAATTGTGATACTTGAGCAGTTTTCAAAAAAAGAGCCATCGTTGCCAGGAAACATTGTACATGATGGAGTTCCTGTCACGCACCCCCGAGCTACGGCGCTGGTGGCGAGCCATGGCCGCCCCGAGGTCACAGCTACCAAGGCCAAGCTAAGGATTCGCAGGGCTTTAAAGGCCAGGCTCCTGGAGGTTTACGCAGCATCCCCGAGAGGAAGTGCCTTTTTGACGTTGGGCAGCTGGACCCTGGATCATCTGGCAAGCTGAACCCCTGAATCGAGGGAGGGCAGGTCCCTTGTTCTGGATTTCGCTTGGGCCAAGTCAGGGAACGTGCAGACAGAGTTGGCTCATTCGATTGTACTTCTTTACAATGAGGCTTTCTCAGTTTGATGTTCATTTTCGGCATGCCATGTCTGGTAAATCTCGAGACCCTTCCAGTCTGTTTGGCTTGGCATTCTTCCAGGAATCCTGGCGGTGCATGAAACGAAAAGTTCGCCGAAAGCAAACCTGACGAACTTGAGGAGTCGATGACGATCCAGAGACATAGAAACTATCAAGTGGGCACCTTGCAGTGTGCGAGGCAGGTGCGGCCTGCTCGCCACGGATGCGGATGAGGCCATGGGTCTTGATGGTGTGGCCGCTTGGCCTTGTGGTGAAGACCTGGGACAGTATGGCTGCACTGGTAATCCATTGCCGCCTAGATTGCCGGCTTCTTGTCGTGACTTGGAGCGCTGAAATTTCCGTGCTGCCTGTGGATCGAGAGTACATGCCGGCCTGCTCCCACCGCACTTCGAAAGAAGAAGGAAAAAGACTAAGGCGCTGCGGCATCCACCACCACCAGCACCACCACCACCACCTCTTAAACCCTCGAACTCCCAACTCCCTCCTCGCAGCAACCTTCTGCAGAGCAGCCGTGCAGCTGCTCTGCTCCGCCCCTTTGTCGAGCTGTACCTCAACCGAGGTGTCTTCGCTGCTCCTAGCAGCTACTAGCACTGGTATACTGTCATCCTCTCGGAGTGATTACTACAGCCTGGCACCTGCAAACCAAGCCAAGGCAGGCATGTAAGTACATCACACTTATGATGGGAAGAACGGTAGAAGAAAGCACTCCGTCAGGCATCTGGCGCCAATGGCAGCAACGTGAAACTCTGAAGCACGATTCACATGCCTGTAGGGCCTGAAGCGCTGAAGAGACAGTAGACAAGCTAAGGACAGACTGAGAAAATACCAATGACGACGGTTGTACATATGGGCCGAGGGGCAGAGTACGTCGAACCATCTTGATCCGTCCACGTACCCATCCTCCGCTCGGTGTGCGGTCGGCTTTCGATTTTCTGCGCTCGGATGAAATGGGTGCTGAAACATGGTCCTTTCATTCAGCTCTTCACTGATCGTGTTTGTGCCAGCTTTGGTTGTACTTATCTTGCTTCTTGTAGATCGAGTGTTCAGCTGTCCACCTCTATGCCCTTATTACATGGCTTCTTTCCTGATCTCAGGGACTTGTGCTCACGGCTTCATACGCCAACACCCTTTCTGATCAAACCGCAAGACCCTGTCGCTCAACTCGCAGGACGTCAGGGACGAGGCACACCAGTTCCAACATTGCGAGATTGTGGCAGCGCGCCTGGTCCTTGCACTGCCGTCGCATTTCATTATCGTCGGACATGCTGGGGCGTTGGGCTTGAGGTGGAGAGACTCTTGAAAGGCCATGACTTACGACAAAGCCCACGCAGGTTAAAATTTGCGTGCCTCGTGCCTGATCCCACCCAAGCTCGTAAACAGGAAGTGGAATCATATCTGGCAGTGCAGCTATGGAGCCTGCTCCGATAGATTGCTGCCTCGGAACTGCCAAGACTGAACTGAGGGACAAGCATATGCCATCCAAGTCACACACACACACACACACCACGACCATGCCGATTGTTGCACAAGCAATGGCCTCTTCTCTGAGCTCAGGGCCCTTCTCTTGCCAACCTTACACTCAAGAGATTGAGTGGGGTTCGGAGCCTAGCATGGCGAGGAGGTGGGACCCAACTACCGACTGGCGCGGTTGAACCTCGCAGGCGCTTCGCTGGGTTTCCCCTGGATCTGTTGTTTCCTGTTGCACCCTGATTGAGCGGCAGCCTGAAGCCAAGAAGCATAGGGCGGGCAGCGACTCCTTTGCCTTTTTGCCGCCTCCACCTGCCAAGGCGTAAAGGTGGTGGTTGTGAGACATCCTGCCTGTCAAAGACTGTTCAGTGGAGCCCAGATCCAACCTAGCGTTTGTGGCGCTGAAGGCATCGCTCAATGGCGCGCGGCGGGCTGCGGATCGAACTTCACTGCGAGTGAAACACAAAGACTGTGCTGCGACTTGCGGCCTCGGGCCGGGAGTGGCGCAAGATACTACAGTTACTACAGTGCACGAGACTGGGCCTAGTACCGTGCCCTTTGGGAGGGCTTCTGCCGAAGCGGCATGGGTCGAAAACTGGTCCGGGACACACCCAGTGCCATGTTGTTTGTACAAGGCTTACTATAGAAACCATGGCTTGGGCCAAAAGTCGCAGATGAGGAGCTTGGTCACCGTGGCTTCAAATCCTGCGATGGCCGCGCAACCCGGAAAAGTGAGCCCTAAAATCCCAAAGTCACAGAGCCTGCCCTGGATGGATCCACCACGGCAATCACCTGACACACAGCAGGGTTTCCTTGTTCGGCCAAACTAACTAAACATAGAAGTCGCAGCTTTTTGAGTTTAGTGCGGGCTTTTTGTCCGGCTGCTTTTGTATGGTGCAACCCTCAGGAACGGCCCGGCCTCAAGCGAGGTGTCCATGTCCCCCAGGATCTTCGGCACGACTTCTTCCGCCTTCCCGACCTGAGCAGTCCGTCTCTTCGCACTTTGCCTCGGTTCGTCCGAGCCGTCTCTTCTCGTGGACTGCAGTCTGCCCGACTTCTCGCAATCTGAGCCCTCGTGACCAACGGGTCCCGTCAGGAGATCAGGTTCTAGAATGGGCTTCGCCAGTGGCCCAGGCTATAAACTCCGTGTTGAGGATAGAGTTCTGCTGCGCGTTTCGACGAGCATCCTCGGCTTTCTGACAACAACACACGCCGATCTTTGCTCCCAGCTTAGCTTGTTTCGAGAATCTAGGCTCGAAACGTTTTTTGTGTCTGGTCCGCACAGAAAGAAACTCTTAGACACCAAGATGACCAGATGTCCTCGATGTTCTCTTCCACGATGTCAACGCCAATCACCTCTTGAGAGTGTAAAGTGTTGCCCTCTTTCCAGGTCCTCTCCGACCACCCAACATGAGGGCCATAATATTAATAATTCAATCTGGGCCTTGGGTATACTGCAAGGAAGGTATGTCCTAACAAAGCCCCAGCCCCCCCCCGTTCCCCCCCCCCCCGACCTTGGCGCAGTAGCCGGCAGCGCAAAGGCCGATTGTGCCAATGCCGCAGAAAATGTCCAGCAAAATCTGGGCCAGGCTTTTCGTTGTTTCAGGCTTTGGGGGCATCTTCGAGTATAACCATTTGGAACCGGGAAGAGCTGAGTGCAAGTAACCCTGGCAGCAGGTGATGAATGCAGAAGTGCGGTCGCCGCAGCGCCGTGTCGAGCCCGACACCAATACCACGAGACGACTCAGGAGGGGGCATCGCTCTTTCGCAGCTTCAAGTACCTGTCACCAGTGACTACCAGCACAGGGGCGCACATCCCTAAGACTCTAAGCTTTGGAAATCCAGGCTTTAAAACGGCAGATGCCTGATCGCCGTCTCCATGAGGAAGCGGCAGGTGGTGGTATTGGGATTGAAGAAGGACCTAAGAACTCATGTCGAAGGTTGGGTCGTGTAAAAGAAGGTCAGGCCAAGCCAGTGCAAGCAGATCTGCAGCCCTGTTTTTTGTCTAAGCTGTGATGTTCCAAGCCTAGCAACCCACACCGGGATGCCCCCCCTTTGTTGCACCATGCGCAAGTGTCTTCCAGACTTGAATTGCTCTGTCCTCTAGCTCCTTGCTTCGCTGCAAGCTTGCTTCTACAGCTTGATGCTTCTACAGCTTGAGTCGCAGTGGTCCGATCTCCAACTTCAGCTCCAGCATCGGCATCTCCAGCCTGGAGCCACTCCGCTCCCTCTCTCACACGAGACCGCAAACTTGGGCAGAAAGACTCTTCTGCTCCAGCCTCGGCTTCCCATGCAGCGAGGTGACCTTCGTGAAGGCATGAAAGTGTCGCAGAAGGCTTGGCAGCATCCCACGTTCCTGCGGCCACCTCTGTGGCCGTCTGAGGCCAGGGCCAGAGCATTGGGCCTCGGCGCATCCGTCACCTTCGCAGAGTTCCCCTCAGGTGTGTAGCTCGTGAAAAGCCGCCTCTCCAGCCTCGTCATTGTACAGGTGATAAATGGCACAGATGCCAAGACCACTGGCCGCCAGTTCGGTGACGAAGGGGTCCACCTCGATGCTGAGGTCTGGCCATGCCACCACGTCATGTTTGCAGGAGATGAACTCAGCCCCTTGCAAAGGCTGAGCGGTCCTCCTCCTTGATGGTCGTCGTTTGCACCATCACAAGCCTCGGCAGCTCAATTCGGCGAAACCCTGCCTCGGAACCTCTCGGCCCCTCGGCAACCCAAGGAAACATAGCAAAGGGTGGAAACTGTACGAAGCACACCTCAAAGACCTCTTCCGGAATCTAGGTTCCGCACATGTCTCCCTTGGGATTGACACGCGCAAGAACAGTGCGCCACACCCCACATCGAGCCTGCAAGCAACTGCTGCACAAATGGTCAATTCGCCACCACCACCGCCGCCACCACGACGATGACGACAGACGACGATTGGATACCCAGCGGGTAGTGGAAGTGGAGCGGTAGCGGTGGCGGTAGTCGCAGTCGTAGTAGCAGGGGTAGTAGCGGTACTGTAGCAGTCGCCGTCGTCGTTGGCGTCGTAACAATCAACCAACCACACAGCTGTCGCAAATGGGAGTTAACTTCCACGGCTGGTGGCCCGGAGCAAACCTCAAGCTTGTCTCATCTTATCGGGCAGTTTGACAAGATTCAAGCGCTCTTACGGTGGGATGAAGGTAGGCAGAGGCATCCCAAGTAAGAGTCGTTAGACAAGGGGCCATGAACCCAGCCTACCACCTTCAACTCCCACCTGTTGACGCCACAACTTGGAGTCTGGATGGAGCTTCTTTCTGCATTGATGCCGATAAGCTTCTCAACCGTGAGTCGCCGACCGAAACCTTACAATCCAAGCCAACACGGGTTTTCGAGTCGCCAAGAGTGCCTTTCGGTCGTAGACGGGATAGCTGGATTTCTCAACGAAGGCTGCAACCTCAATGTTGGGTACATGAGGTGAGGCTTTAAAGAGGCAAGCAAACTAGCGTGTTGTGGCGGACTTGCGCAGCCGATTCCATTGTTGCCAATAAACATATTCTCCACTTCAAGATGCCTTCTCGAGGCTGTAAACTTTTTGCACAAGGGACTCGGCGGCTGCGCAGGCTGTAAACTGTAAACCTGGCAATCTTAACAGCCATACTTCCTTCAGAACCCGTGAGCCAATGCGTGCGGCGAACCCCGCACTTCCATGCATCCAAGTAGCCTTCGCACACAAGCGCTGCATACACTCCGGCACCAGCCTGACACCATCGAAGGCTGACTGGGCCATGCGCGCACATGTAGGTGTGAAGTGGTGACCTAAGAAAGAAAATTCGGACACCATGGACCTGCGGGCTGAAGCTCAGAGGCCCAAAGCCATGCAAGACACACCCCTTGAAATCGGTATGACCCGCCAGGCTAGCCAGCTTCCGGTTGTCGTCACACCATGAACTGGCTGAGGGTTCCACGGCACATCCTGAACGCTGCCGACGACCTGCAGCCGCTCCGATGCAGGATGCGCCAGTCGCTGTGCTTGGGATGCGGCTTTGCAGTTACCTCTCCACATCTCCAGGTGCCTTTGACTTTGGGGTAGGCGTGGACACATTCCGGCCTGTGTGCCGTCACTCAGAATTCTCAAGATGAAGCCCACCTCTACAGCCTTAGCTGGAGCTCACAAGATGACACCACCACAGGCGAACGAATTCATGTCATGATATATTCTAGGCTAAATATTTTATATTACATCATATAGCACAGTACTGTTTAACAGCCGTGGGAGCTTGAGCACTCTAACACTCCGACATTGCCAAGATGCACCCTGCTCGTTGCGTCCAATGGTGAACCTGTGTGGCATAAAGCGTCTGCGCTTGCTACACTGCACAACAAGTCAGGTATCAGCTTCATATCTCTTATCACACCTACAAGCACATATGTATATGCACGCATACACACACAGATCTATATATATATATATAGATACATACATAGATACACACATACACATATATGTATATAGTACACATATAAACATATATGCATTCACATTTTGTCAGTTCACTTATGTATTGTGCACTGTCTACGTGCATGCATGACGCACACATGTACGTATACACACCCTGCACAAACATACATGCGTGTACAAATGTACACATTAAAACTATTGCACGCATTGGCTTACGAAGATACTTGTCGTATTATGATATAGTGCAATTAGTTTACTATACTATGCTATGTTATGTTATGTTACGTTATGTTATGCTATGTTATGTTATGTTATGTTATGTTATGTTATGTTATGTTATGTTATGTCGCATTACATTATATTATGTTACTTTATGTGAAAGACTATGTATGTAACATGTTATGGCATGTTTCATCTCATCTTGATGATAGCATAAAAAACTGTTATTGCATTGCGTACATGTTAAAACACATTACACTATATATATATATATATACCGAACCATTTCACTGTACCATATTATACTAAAACATATTATATCAGATTGCATTGGAAACATCGTTTGCTCTATTACTTTTTACTACACTCCTTAGTATTATTTTTGCTATATTTCAGTTTTCTATGTTTAGTGCGTGAAATATAATACCAAATTAAATTATATGTAGAACATGACATAATATTCTGCAACATACTATAGTAATACAGTGTGATAAAGCGCTATGTTATATGTTTAAACTGTATGACTATGTTGTATTACACTATGCATTGAATTAAAAATATACTGTACTACAGCATATGCACAGGTATTTGTATACACGTGTGTTATCTCTCTCTCTCTACCAATGTGTGTATTCTACCAAGCAGCCTTGCAAAACTCAGTTCCGACCAGCCCTCTCTTGAGCTGAGGCCATGGCTCGCATTTATTTCTCCAGCCCCTGATTCAGGTAGGATCGAAGGTAGGCCGCTCCAAGCTTTCCCCACTCGACAGTTCTGCCAGTAGAAGTCGCACCGTTTTCCGCGCGGCACGAACTACCCATGCGTGCCTGCTCCTCTGTGCCGTCCAGGAGCTCTTCTTGCGGGGCTTCAGGTTAGGTCTTCATAGCAATGCCAAAAACGCAAAACCCCAATGCGATGTCGCTACAACCTCCAATCCAGGTGTTACCTTGTGTAGCCCTGCGCAACGGACCTCAATCCGTGAGTCGGGGCCTTCTTGCAACCTAAGCCCCAAGGTTGAGGCTTCTCGCCTCCACGAGAGTTCTTGTGACCCCAATGCTTCTTCAATCTCCCTCACACAGTGAGTGTGCCCTCAGTTCCCAAAAACCTGACTTCGCTTTGGTATGAACGGCTGCTACACCTGGCACAGCTACTCACACTCCTGCGCAGTACCCCCAAACCTTGAGAAGAACACGGCACATCTAATCCTGCAGCGCATCAGTACTTCAGCCTACGTTGAACAGAACCTGAGACGTAAACCTATGTCTGAATGCGGCAATGACGTGCCAGTTCGGGATCAGAAGCACAGCTAAACCGTCCATAACAGCATAAGTGCTTTGATGGGAATGGGGCTGCATGATCTGGACAGGTCCCCTTGTGGGACACATCGACAACAGACATCCGCCGCAGGAGATGGCTACGGAGTTTACCACACTACTGAACGATCCGGGTTCTAATCCTCGGAACCACTACCGCCGACTGCCGCGACTACCACGGCCACGGATGCTAGCATATAAAACCCAGCAACGACTGCCGCTACTGCGGCTGTTACTGCTACTACTAGTACCGCTGTTGCCACCGATACCACCACGGCTCCCAGTGCGATTTCCACCACTGCAATCACCGCTACTGCTGCCGCAGCTGCAGATACTGCTGGTGCTCCTATTGGTGCTGCTGCGGCTACTACTAGCACCACCACCACCACCATCACTACTGCTACCACTGCACCTACCGCAACTACTGCAACTGCTACTGCTACGGATACTGATATTGATCATCAACAAAATCTGTAAGTAGTAGAGGACAGAACGGCGACAACACTGTACATACCGCTGTTTTGGGCATCTTCGCGGGTGCTTTTGTTCTCGTGCAGTAGGAGTCTTCGAGCATGAGAAGGAGGGAGGAGTGGCGATCATTTCCGTGCTCTACACTTGCACACTACTTGCACATAAGTACTTCAAGCACTTGTTTCTGCAGCCCCATCTCGCGACATCTGAAGGCCCTTTGGACCATGCAAGGCTCGCAACAAAATCTCTGCAGCCGAATCCAGTCAAGAGTGGGTTGCACTGAAGCCCAAGGCTTTCCGTGCAAGGCTTCAGATACGGCGACAGGTCGCGGTGTTCGTCATGCTTTTCTAACGGCTTCCTCGCAGGCGTGCTGTGGCTTCGAGACTCGAGCGGGGTGCAAGGTTGCGCATTTCCGAGCTTTGGCTTCACGCCTTCGCTCTGGGCCACACTATGCTTTGAATTGGTGTATGGGAACTCCCATCGGGAACCCATGCAAGCTACGCGTGGCCACTTGTTGGCCATTGCTGTGAGAAACGATCCGTGCATCTTGTTCTGCATCACTGATGCACTTTGATTTTTCGTTGCCGTGGGGCCTCACTGGCCCGCTGTGGGGCCCAAGACCAAAAGTTCAGAGTCTGGTTGCCGAATCGCCGAGAAACTTCTACGCAGGCAAAGCTGTTCTCGGGGACTGGGACAAAGAAGTGCCGAAGATGACTGTGTCCGATGGAAGCTATTCAAGAGTGGCCTTTCCACAACCACATCCCAAAAGCTGAACACAAAACTTTCCCTCTGGGGCGAAAGTTATACGAGAAACAACTCCCTTCATCGACTCTACCCTACTGGTCTCTAGATATACCATACCCATGCATGCATCAGCAGAAGTTCTGGTCATCATTGCGTTCAAAGCCGAACAGTTCGCAGAAACACCAGAATCACCATAAGAATCGAGTCTTTCTGAACTGGAACCATCACAACATCAATAGCAACACGTCACACTGTTCGGAATCGTGCTGTCATTGGGACCACCGGCAACCAGCAAAGATGCTGGCGATCAGGAAAGGCCTGTGAACCGAAGGCTTGACCTTTGGCCCAACGCTTAGCGGAAAGGCTCTGCCCCTCACGAGCTCCTGGCGCACCAGCAGCAGGAGCAGTAGAGTAGAAGGAGCAGTTGCAGCAGTAGCAGTAGCAGCAGCAGCAGCAGCAGTGGCAGCAGCAGTAGTAGCAGGAACAGCCACTACAGCAGCAGCAGCACCATGACAAGGAGCAGGAGCGAAAGCAGTAGCAGCAGCACGGTCGCAGTCGCCGTAGCAGTGGCAGCATCAGCAGCAACAGCAGCCAAGCGGCAGCAGCAGTGCCAGCAGCAGCTGGATCAGCAGCATTAGTCACTAGTCGTCTGCCTTCGATTTGATAGTAGTCCGAGATTAGCTTCCATTTTCTTGAACAATAAAATGTGCGAGTGTGTCAACGAAAGGTCTGGAAATTGTGGCTGCGAAGCTTGCGATCAAGAAAAAACACTGCGAAGTATCAGGCCGGTGATTCGGCAGCGGCTTACCTGAACAATGACCCCCCACCTTGTCAGATGCCCACTTCGTACCACTCGCTGGCACGCCCACCAACGTCATCGTCGCTGCTGTCATTCGACCCGCACTCGGACATGCAAATCAGCTTTTCCTGAGCGACAGGACACAACCCAACCAAACAAAGAAATAATGCACCGTAACCAAAAAAACGAAGGAGCAGTGGCTAGAACAAACATCAACTTGAAACGGTACAAAACAAGTAAACTAGCAAGGTGAGACTTCAATGTGCTTGCCGCCGTCCCTGCACTTAACCCTGACATGCACGCATCCCACTGCCCGCTGAAAGGGCAGCATAGGGGAGGTGCAAAAATCCAGAGGTATAAGATAAACCAGCCAGATAAGACTTGCCCAATCGAACTTGAGCAACATGTAACCTAGCGACAACTGAACAGGGCAGAGGAGCCAAGAACCGACGGTTCGTCAACTTCTGGTTCAGGTCCTGAAGACACAGTTGCGCTTCAGATGCTGGGGATCAGCCCAGCAATCAATGTCAACTGCAAGAACTTGAAACCGAATTCTGCAGTCGATGCCAAGATGTGTGTAACTCCACAACTCGCGACAGGAAGCTCCTTAACCTCTGGCGCGTCCGTTGGCGGCAGGTTCACAAAAGTCCTTGACGGGTTGTTGAAAATCAGTGACCCCGCGACCAACTGCTAACGCAAGACGACTATTTGCCTCGCTTGTGGGTGGTGTTGAAGACAGACCACGCAAAGTTCCACTCAAAGAACGGCTTTGTGGGAATGAGAGCTGACCCCGGCCTCAACGGAGACCTAGCTAAACGGAGTATTTTGGGCATTTCCCGTGCTTTGGAAGAGATCGACAGAGAACCAAGATCTGCGTGCACCATGCTCCGATGCAGACACCCTGTTTACTGTAGCACTGTAGCATGTACAACAAGAAACCAAAGTCCCAAAGCAAGGCAGACAGAAATGAGAATGTCTCGGCTCTGTCATGCATTTGTGGGCTACGTGCCTGTTGTGCAGACGTCTGTCCATCTCGTTTTGTAGCAGGCTTTCCTGCTTCTGTGACAGCTTCGGGTGCCTCGATCCGAGATGCGCTCTAAAGAGAACCGACCCGGAGGCCACTCAGAAAGACGCCAAGATGCCGGTGCCCGGGGCCCAGAACCATGAGCGCCTCCAGAAGAACCGGGCGGTGGTCCTGGGCTGCTGCCAGACGAACAAGCCAGATTATGATGCGGGAATAACAAAAGTTATCATCGTGGCGGCGGTGGTGGTGGTAGCGGCGATGATGACAAGGACAATCACAATGGGGCTGGGAACTTTGATGAAGATGATGATGGTGGTGGTGGTGATGTGCTGCTGGCGGCGGTACAAGTGGTGCCGATGCTCGTGCTGACAATGCTGACACTGCTGTTACTGCATTGCCGAAACCAGCCGGTGATGATGATGATGATGATGATGAGGATAGTCACGATGGTGGTGGTAAAGACAAGAAGAAGATGATGATGATGATGATGGTGACGATGATCATGATGGTGGTGGTGGTGGTGATGAAGACAGTGGTGATGATGGTTGATGGTGACGGTGGTGATGATGATGATGATGATGATGATGGTGATGGTGATGGTGACGGTGGTGATGACGGTGGTGGTGACGATGATTTGATGATGTTACCTGTGGTCACGGAGATGAAGCCACGGTGCTGATGATGATTGCTGATGATGCTGATGATGATGATGATGACGATGAATCCGTTCGGGTTTCGTTGAAGGCAGTTGCGCTAGCTGGACCCCTCATCGGCGTCGGGTTCAGGAATCAAGCTCGACAGATGAAGGTGCTACTGGTAGCCCTCTCTTCCGTGCAAGAACAAGGTGGGCTCTTGTCCTAATTCTCCGCCACCTTTGCCCATACATTCCTGGCAGCAAGCCCCGAAACCTATACAAGTGAAACATGCCGCAGCCCAATCCAAGATGTTCCTGCTGGGGATGCTGGCGAGTGGCACTGCCGTCGATGTGACCCACAGTTTCCTGGAAACATCTTACGGCCGGTGTGCCATGTGGAGTTCACTGTGGACTTCTGGTTTCGGGACCTGGGAGTCTGGGAGCCGACTGTTACAGTTGCAGTCTATGCGAAACCACGTAACTGGCCTAGAAAGCTCAAAATCGAAGTGATGAGGCTCTGCCCATTGAAAAGGGCGGTGTATTTCTGAGCATGCCTCCCAATTCGGCACATCAGAGGCAAAATCGGTTATAATTGCCAAGAATCGTAGCCACCATCTGGCAGTACGAAGGACATCTGACAGGCCAGGGAATCCGGGGCCCAGTAAATCACCTGCGGGGCTGCTAAACAAATCGCAAAGACGGGATTGTTGCGGCCTGCATCTATCACGAAGCCA